TTTTGTATTTGCCAAACATTAGTAAGTTCTAATTTGGTTGACTTTATTTGACATGCATTTTTATGAATTAATTTCACTTGTTGTTCTACGAGTTTTATGTCATTTCCACATTTACTTCACATTTTTCACTATCCACTTTTGATTCTTGACTTATATTTCGGAAGAACCATACACGGACGAAACACAATAGTCATGTATCAAAAATGGCCAAAGTCACAGACGTGGACCAATTGTGGAATTGATACGAAGCTTCCAAAAATGGAATTTAATCCATTTTTATTATTGCACAACATTAATGTTCTATTTCTTGTTTTGAAAGGATGAACTTAGATTAAGACCTATTTCGATTTTATGTGGACTTAGATTAAGAACTGCTTCAAATTCTTTGAACATACGTCATCATCTTTGATTTGGGAGTAGAGGACATGACAGGAGTTAGTCAATCGGCCATCACCCACCAACTTGCCATAGATCCCTCATCGACCCTGGTCAAGTAGAAATTGAAGCACCTCTCAATTGAGAGAAATGATTCCATAAGGTATGAGGTCACCATGGTTGTTAAGTGTTGTCCTTAGATAGAAGCCTTTCACTTCCAGATGGCTGAGAGGCCAGGAGCTTGGCTTGGTGCGTAATCGGGGTGACAGTTTTTTGAGCCACCCATTAGATCACCAGAGGCTAGGTTAAGAGACCTAAAGGAAGCTCGAATTATTTAATAAAAATAATTGAGATGGGTCGAGGAGCCCGGAGCTTGGCTCGGACAGTCACACAAGGGGACTTCTGTCCACCAGTAAGCAGTGGCGGATCTAGCCTTTACATTTTGGGTGTTCAAAATTAAAGTAAAGTTAAAAGTATCACAGTAATCACATATAATGCTAAAATTCAACAATTGTATCTTTATCAATAAAAACTACTACATTAAAAAGCAAAAGAAACTCCATAATATAATAATAAAGTCTAAGAAACTCACTACATAAACTGATTTTTCCTGGTGGTCATGTTTTTTTGAAAATAATCTACAATATCTTCGTTGCTAATAGTCATAAACACATCTCTCTCAATGAATGTCACGAGACGATCATTTAGCCATTGGTCCCCCATTTTGTTCCTCAATTCACTCTTGACATGCTTCATTGCTGAAAAGACACGTTCCACACTTGCAGTTGCTACCGGCAAGATCAAAGCAAGCTTCACAAGCTTATAAATGGCACCATAAGTCTTGTGTTTTTTTGTTGCTACAAGTTTCTTTGAAAGATCCGCAAGCCCTGTTAATCCTGAAAAACGAGGATCTAAATGCATATCCTCAATGTAGTTAGCAAACTGATTGCATAAAGAAGATTCAGTCTCATCAGGGAAATCGCTTGGGTAGAACGTTGTCATTCTCAACAACTTCTCCACATCAAAATCCACAAAGTTAGAGGCAGGACTTAAGCATGCAACACAATGCAATAACTCAGTATTTTCCACATCAAATCTAGAATTAAGCTCCTGCAATTGCAAATCTAAAATGCTAACAAGACAATCAGTCTTGTAATGATGCAAATTCGTAACAAAAGAAGTTTGACGGTGGGATCTTTTGGATAGGTGATAGGGACCATCCATATTAGGCACATGAATATCATGAGTTGTACAAACCGTAACAACTCTTCCAAAGAGAGCTTCCCATCCGTCATCTCTCATCTTTTGGAGCCTCATTTTGCAGATCTTCACAAGAGTCAATGCATTCAAGAGGTCCTGATCACGTCTTTGCAAAGCCATATTCAAATCATTTGTCACCCCTAACACATCAACCATCAAATATAGCATCAAAATAAAATCAAAAGAAAGTAGGCCATCTAACAGACTCCTAGCCGGACCACGAACATCACAAGAAACATCATCCGTCATTGTTTCAAGGACACCAATCACAGGACCAAATAATGTCATCAAGCTAGTAAAAGTCCTATAGTGCGACCCCCAGCGTGTATCGCCCGCCCTTGCAAGAGCTGATTGTTGATTTAAACCTGTGCCAGTTTCTACCAAACCCAACTCAATTATCTCACGTAAATGGGCATGTTGCCTGTCCCGAAGCAGCTCCTGTCTTTTGTTAGAACACCCAATTATATTGACCACACTGTTTACTAGGCCTAAAAAAGTACTAACATCAATGTGACACTTCACACTAGCAACTAAAGCCAATTGGAGCTGGTGAGCAAAACAATGCACATAAAAAGCAGAGGGGTTCTCCTTTTGAATTAATGTTTTTAAGCCATTAAGCCGTCCACTCATATTACTAGCTCCATCATACCCTTGCCCTCGAATCTTGGATAAACTCAACCCATTCGGGGACAATATGTCTAAAAGGGCTTTTTTAAGGGAAGGAGCATTTGTTTCTTTTACATGTGCAATGCCAAGAAATCTTTCCATAACACAACCAGCACTATCAACATAACGCACAACAAGAGCCATTTGCTCTTTACCCGAACAATCACCTGACTCATCAACTAACACACCAAATACATCACTTCCAATTTCACTAGCAATATTGGAAGTAGTTAAATATGAACAAGCAAAAGCAAGGTCTTTTTGAATAACCGGGGAGGTCATCCCACGAAAATCCGTGACACCACTAGCCTCTCGCAACTCTTTAACATATTCAAGAAAATGGCCTTGGTAAGATGAGTCTTCTCCCTCATTATGTCCTCTAAAGGCTTGTCCACCCCTCAAAAGTAATTTAGTAGTTTGAAGTGATGTTCTCACTTTTATTGCATATTCAGAATCTAAAAACTCAGATGATTTCTTCACACAAGTAGCAATACTTTGCTTTGAATTCATAAGGTTTCTACATTTCATCACACATGCTTTATGACAATCACTATTAGCATGTCGATTGAGCCCATGAGACCTACGATTCCAACCTCTAAAACCATTTCCTTGACCAACAAAAGAATCACGACCATACTTAGTTACATCTTTGAATAAATAGCATGGCAAGCAAAACACAGCATCCTCACTTTCACTATATTCCATCCATTCTATATGACTTGCATACCAAGAAGAATTAAATTTGCGCTTACCTCCAATATCAGAAAGTGGAAAATCAATATTATAAATTTGTGTTGGACCATTGATTAGATACTGCCTCCTCACACTTTCCTGACTATCAGGATGAAATTGTTCAATTGGCTTTCTTTTAGCAGGATCAGCTTCCAATGCAATCACTTCAGATTGTGGTTGAGAGGACGAACCAGTACTATCTCCTTTGAATTTCGGTGTCACAGGAAAGTAGCGTGTTAACGCTACGGTTCGTTTATTTGGATTTTCCATTAAATTCTTCAAACCTGTTTACGAAAATAATACTCTTATTCATTAACAATAACACAAATTAAATCACCATAAATAATATTATCGAAATATAAATACCAAACCAATTAACAACTCATTCAATTTAATAGTTATCTAGCTAAATTCTATCTAGTGGGTCATTGATTTTGTACACACTGGACACTGGACACCTACAAAGTAATGCCAGGAGACTGCCTATCTACTTCTTTTTACTCTCTGCCAGACTGCCACTTCATATATCAAATATCAGTAAATAATTTTGTCACTCCAAATTTATCAACTCTGAAAAAGGGGCAGAAAAGATAGAGATCGGAGCATTTCATTATTTCAATAATCTGTAGACTGTAGCCATACATCAGTGCATCACTAAATAATCATAACATCATTCTTCATCAATCATCACTTCTTACGATTTTTAAACTCCAAAATCAAAAATTAAAATGCAAGTTTGAAATACATAAACAAAGCAACTAAGCAAGCAAATGAAGCAATCAACTACCTGCAGTACAGCAGTAGATCGAGTATGGAGCCTAAAGGCTGTAGGAGTGGAGGGCCGGAGTCTGGAGCTTGGGTGTGGCCGGTGTGCGGATCTGCTGCGCACCCACAAAGCACCACTGCACCAGGCTGACCAGAGAGTGAGCGCGGCAAGGGCAGAACCGCCGGACTCGCAGCGGGCTGGTCGCCGGAGAATCTGGAGCTTGGACTCTACTTATGTGCCTTCGAGCCGGAGATCTTTAGTGCGTCACTCTTGGTCGGGAGGATGAGAAGTAGCAGCTCCGATTTCAGAAAATCGGGATTGGGCTTGGTTGGACTGCCGGGTAAGAGATAAACGACTGTGTATATTTTTTTTTGTAAAACACATCAAAACGACGTCGTTTTGATTAAAAAAAATTGAAATTTTTGGTAGTTCAGCTGAATACCCTTGAACACTGGGCAGTCCGCCACTGCCAGTAAGGGTCTGTTTGCAACATTTTTTGTTTTTAAAAAAGTGTTTTTTAATGAAATGGGGAGAAGTGGCTAAATAAAAGTCGATAGTGATTGAGAAAAAAGTGATTTTGAAAAGTAAAAGTGGGTAATGTTTGGTAAAATAAGTATTTTTTTAAATAAAAAAACTGAGAAGTATTTTTTTAAAAGAAGTTTCAAACCAATTAGACTACTACTATTTAATTAAGGAAAAATTGATTGTAATAATCCCAACTATTGGCGGTCCGCTCATAATAATCCCAACTATTGATTATTTCAGAATAATCCCAATTTTAGGGACCTTCCGCCAATAATGGTCCCTATAAATAAATTCTTGTAGTTTCTTAAATGAATGAGATGAGATATAGCAAGTAATCCCTATAAATAATCTCAATGTTTAATTTTTACGCTTAATTTCTATTTAAAATTCACTTGTTAGTGGAGGTAATATCTGGTCATGGACCATTATTGGCGGACGGTCTATATAGTTGGGATTATACAAAAATAATCAATAGTTGGGATTATTGTCAGCGGACCGCCAATAGTTGAGATTATTATTTTCAATTTTTCCTTTAATTAATATCTTAGTGCTTGGAGTAGGAGTATTGGGCACTTAGCTTTGGAATGGGCCCATCATGGGAATCAACTTTGGGCTCCACGTGGTCTGGGCCGCTGGGTTCTTTTACTCCACGTGAGAAGCTACCGAAGAACAGCTGCTTGATGTACAGCTGACAAAGCTTTCAGCCGGCCGGGATGACCCATTCGGCTCTGCCTCTACCTTCGTTGCTGGGGATTCTACGGGCTGTTTCTGCCTAAGAGTGACGACCAAGAAGAATAGGAGCGCAGAGCCCTTGACCCGCCATCTTGGCTTCAACTGCAGAAGGGAGGACCGGATCTGGCTACCACCGTCCAGACTCCAGAGAGTGGCTGTTCGTCCAGGACCGTCGCCAAACAAAGAGGAGTGGGCTGCAGCGGCAACAATGGCCGGTGACTCATGGTGGTCGGCGAGATCCGTGGACCGTGTCAGTGGTGGTCAGCTGGTGGCAACAATGTTCTGGTCTGGGACGCAGTGGGGCGACGGTTGCTCCGGTTTGGGAACATCCCAGATCCCTGCGATTCTAGACTTTTTTCTTCCATTCTTTTAGTTCCATAACAGTTTCTTGGTTGAATTTTTGGTTAATTGGGAGGGATCACACTTGAGTGTGTTCAAATCTCTCAATGAGAACACCATTTCATGGATAATAGTTATCCATGTTGTATAATTTATGAGAGATGAATAAAGAATGGAGAAGAAGGTAATTTGTATAATGTTTAAATGTTTGATTAGGGTTTGCAAGTTTCCAATAAGGAATAGAAAAAATTGTCAGGTTATTACTTATTGACTTTTGATTTCTAAATCTATGAGTTTTTTCCTATTTTCCAAAAAAGTTACCTGACGCACGCTGCTTTCCCCTTTCTTCATTCGGCGCAAGCATCGGGGCATCGACGGCGTACCATTCTGCATCTTACGGTCCTGCACCTTCACAACACCACTGACGCGTCGCGAACCACCGCCGCTGCGTCGCTCAACGCCGCCGCCATAAGCCATCGGCCCTCCAGATACTCTCTTCAATTCTTTGTGAATCCGTCTTCTCCATCGAGAATGAAAGTGTGACCTTTCTCCTCTGCATCGACGCCGTTGTCCAGCATCGTCGATGCCTTCTCCGCCTTCGCTACTGCACCTCTCCTTGTTGTTGCTTTCACTATTTGATGGACAATCTACCCGGGGGGTATCTTATCCGAAGGGTTATTGCGGAAATAGCTTAGAGAGAAGTCAGAGCAAATAGGAGGAGAGAGAGTCAATTATATTAAATGAACTCGAGATGTGGAGTTGAGATGCAGATTGTGTTTTACAAGGAGAAATAGGCTGCTATTTATAGCAGCAATAAATGCGATGAGAGGACACGTGTCAGTAATCCAACGGCCGAGGGGTCACATCAGCCTAGTGGCACCGGCAGTGGTACGTCAACCGCATTGAATGCGGTTGGCGGATGTGACGTGGCATTAAATGCGGTGGTTGGCTGTCTCTAAAAGGAATCTTTGGTGATTGAGCCTGTTCAGCCGAAGGCTCCTTGTGTAGCCGAGGGCTCCCTGGTGTGGCCGAGGGCTTGGTTCAGCCGAAGGCTTCTCGTGTAGCCGAGGGCTCCTCGTGTAGCCGAAGGCTCCCCGTGTAGTCGGGGTCATAAGAATGCCGAAGGCTCATGTCTTCGCCCGTTTTCTCCCAGCAGCTTCTTATGCCAGAAAGGCTATCCTGCGAGTTCTGGAGCCTTCGGCCAAGGAGGCCGAAGGCATCCCCGTGTGTATTCTGAGCTACTTTGAGGCTTGGGCCGTTGTATTTGGGCCTGAGTTGTTTCCTGAGCCCAAGGGACTTGTGTAGGAGAAATGGGAGTCTATGGGCCGGGGGTTCCTGGGCCATATACTCCATCAGGAGTCCCTCACTCCTTTTGCCGAAAGGTACTTGAGGGAAAAGGAGTAGATGTGTTGCTTCTTCTGGAGGCTTCATCATTTCGCTGGGTGCCTTTGCTGGAGAACTTGTCTTCTCCTGATTGCCGAAGGCTTCCCTCAGTCCCTCACAGGTCGAGGGTTTTCTGAAGGAAGGTATTCATGACCTTCGCATGTTTGCCGAGGGCTCCCCTCAGTCCCTCATATGTCGAGGGTTCTCTGAGGGAAGCATAGATGTATTTCCCGCGTGTGTTGTGATGAGGGCTGCTTCATTTCCGCAAGTGACTTGGGGAAAACTTGTGATATCCTGCCTCTGCCGAAGGGTATATTGGAGCATGTACCCGGGGGGTTTCTGCTCTGGTGCCCGGGGGCTACATGCGTCAATTGTAAATCTTTGCATGAGGGAATTTTTGTTTTTGTATGATTCCCGAGGGGTGTATCCCAGTCCCCCACTCCTTTGGGCCGAAGGTTAGTTCGGGCTGAAGGAGTTATGATGTGGTGATGCAAACCCGAGGGGTGATATTATTGATAAGCTAGGTGCTTATGCTGCCGCAGGCTTGAAGGCGCTATGTTGGAATGCATTGGCTGAAGGCTGTGGGAGTGTTAGCCGGAGGCTGCAAAGATGAGCTCGCCTCAAGTTTTTTTAAAATAGAGCCGTTGGAATAGAGCCGTTGGAGAGGGGTTCCACGTGTCAAGTTTTTGGTGGCTGAGTGTAACACCGTCCCCAAATATATTTACTTTTGTGTAAATAATGTATTGAACCTTATCAAAGGATTAATGAATTTACGAAGTTGTAAATTTTTATTATTTTTTTCGCGTGAATAGTAAATTGCACATGGGACCCACACCGGGAGCGGGGGCCGCCCGACACTCCCGAGACCACATATTTTATTCATCTTGGTCAAGATAATATTTATATAGTGGTGGATATTTTATTTGGGTCGTGGAAAGGCGCAGGGTTTACCGATTGGGAAAAAGAGGCCCAATTACCGGTACCGACAATTTAACAGATAACAGCCCGAAAATGAGTTTCGGAGGCTTATAAATTAAAGTTGGGGAATGTATATTCATTATACATGTCATAATGAGTAAGAGCACATAATATATTTTATTTGACCCGATAAAATAAAATATATTTAAAACAGTCCGAAAAATACAACTTTCGGGGCCGATTGTACACATCGGGACTTAATGGGATGACCTCCCACAAGGGTGGGGGCCACCCCACGTTTTTGTGTGCCCAAAATAAACAAGGAGGTGGCTGAGTTGACAAAGGAAGGAGTGGAGGAGGTGCTTTTGGCATCTAAGGTACATGGAGGACCCCCCTCCCTCACTCATTTGTCAATTAAGACAAAAGTGAGACATCCCCTCTCCCTCCAACCATTGAGCTCGACCAAACCATCCAAGGGAGAGAGAAGGAGCTTCAAAATCACCTCCATTGCTGCAAATTTGAGCTCAAGCTTTAGTGCTCAAAGGAAGAAGATTAAAGAGGGAAAAAGTTGGGAAAAGTGTGAACAATTAAGGTAATGACCTTATATTAACTTTTCCTTTATTTTTCTTCCACCATATGAAGTATATATCATATGAAGAACCTTTAGTATGGTCCAATATGTTAGAAGTATGGATTTATGGGGTGGAAGATGGTTCTAAGTCCAAGAACGGACTTAGAAGCCAAAACGACCGGTTCACCGGAAAATAACCTTTTTGAGGTTATTTGTATTAATATGGGTTTTATGATTATAAAACCTTGTTAGGCACTTGTAAAGGGTATTTCAAGTGATTTCACAAAGTTGGAAAAAGTCGCCGGAGTTGTCGCCGGAGTTGACCAAGTCGCCGGAGTTTCACCGGAGTTCAACCAAGAAGGGTAGAACTTCTTAACGCTAGTTCAAGGTGAGTGGACGGCTTAATATCTTATAACTTTTGGGTTAATTATGAGATTACCTAAATAAATGTTATATGTGTTCATAATGATGTTTAAAAGATATTTAAGCATGTGATTAGCCAACATTATTAAGTTGTATGAAAAGAATTAGTTGTTTATGCATGAAATATGATATGAGGAATTATATAAAATGCACATTAGCTTGAAGTGTAAAAGAAGCACAAATGAGTATTTTTAACTTAATTATATGATGATTAAGTTGATATGTACAAGGCTTGAATTGGCGGTCAACGACAACGTTGACCGATGGATAATGGATTAATTAATATCGGTTGATATTAGTTAATTATATATTTATATAATTGCATGACTTTGCATGGATTGTGATACATAAGCTTTATGTATTGAATTAGTTATGAGTAACTAAGTATGATATAGACTCTATCTAGGTTGATAGAAGTTGATCATAGGAAAATATTTTGGTGGAGGACCCTAGTACTTAAAAGTACTTAACACTCAAAATTTGGTGGAGGACCCTAGGACTTAAAGTCCTTAACACTCGGATTATAAATTGGTGGAGGACCCTAGGACTTAAAAGTCCTTAACACTCGGATTATAAATTGGTGGAGGACCCTAGTACTTAAAGGTACTTAACACTCAAAATTTGGTGGAGGACCCTAGTACTTAAAAGTACTTAACACTCAAAACTTGGTGGAGGACCCTAGGACTTAAAAGTCCTTAACACTCAAAATTTGGTGGAGGACCCTAGTACTTAAAAGTACTTAACACTCAAAACTTGGTGGAGGACCCTAGGACTTATGAGTCCTTAACACTCACAAACCGGTGGAGTACCCAAGGATTATGATCCTCAAAACTCATAGATTATGATATTGAAATAGGGACAAGGAGGAGTCCTATACACTCATAGGTATATGGGTGGGTTGGGGTTTTTAGTCAAGAATATTGACTATTACTATTTTTCCCAAATAGAACGGTGATCTACGGATCGGATATTTTCCAAGTATATATATACTAATAAGTATTTCATAACTTGGGGGAAAGACTATTTATTTAAGTATCACCCTATGTTTGGGTCTTATACTTGAAACGCTAGTTATTCTATATTTAGCCTGCTACTCGCTCGGTACTTGTACTGACCCCTTCGGGGGGCCCCACCATTTTCAGGTTGAAGCTAGGGCTTGCTACTTGCACCTTCTCACGGGTGGTATCATATCGGGAAGACGCGGTTCGTGCTTCCTTATTTTCTTTCAAACTACCGAACACTTGCTCATGGATATTTGTTCTACTATAAACTATTTTTGGGGCTTGCATGCCCATGTTGTTGGCCGGTTGTGGCCTATGACTTACCGTTGAATATTTTCCGCTATTCATTGGTTTAAATGTGATGTTGTTATGTATGTTTACTACTGAATATGGATGGATTGTTTTCTCGAACGCCTTGTGTAATTGAGTGAGGTTGACTCGTGGGTGACGTCACTTAGTTATACGGCGGTTGTACACGCGCTTGGATTGCGGTCTGGGGCGTGACAATTAAGTGGTATCAGAGCCATCTCAGTTCTAAACTATATAATCAACCTCTCACAAAAGATTTTACAAAAGAGTTTTTGCCGAAAACCATGAGCATTGTATTTTGACGTTTATGGGACTATTGGTGCTTAAGTTGCAAGGCCTCTAATTGTTAAGACGGTACCCTTAACAATTGGTATGGTAGTGACTTGGGCCAATACGTGTCTGTAACGTTCTTCCGTCAATTGACATTTATAGGAGTCTAATGACTCATCCATATTTCTTTCAGAAATGGAGGGCAGGCGAATGGGGACCAGGAACAATCCGAGGGGGCAAGCGCCGGTAGCATCCCAAAGGGGAAGCCGGGCTGCATCTCGGGGTTCAAGAGGAGGCCGTGGAGGCCGTGGAAGCCGTGGAGGTCATCAAGCTCAAACTGTGAGTGATGGCCATGTAAGCTCGGTGTATGAAACCAACACCGAGGACT